CACTCAGCTCCCTGTCAGAACTTTAGCCTCTACTTCAATGCATTCATATTCTGGCAAGTATAATGAGAGACATGTTTAGTTGCTTCTTCTACTAAATTGATGCTCTAATCTTTAAAAGAATTGTATAACATGAACTGTTGTTGCAAGTACCAGCAAGATACAGGAGATGGAAAGGACTCGTGGGGTGATTTTTTGGGGGAGGGGGGGAAGCTTCTTTTAATGAGGGATCCTGGGAATTAGAGATCAGTAACGTCTGAAAAACCTCATTGCGCCAACCAGAGGTGGTATTCAGCAGGTTCTGACCAGATCTAGAGAACCGGTAGCAGGAATTTTAAGTGGTTCGGAGAACCGGCAAATACCACCTCTGACTGGCCCCCGCCCCCATCTACTCTGCCTCCCGAGTCCCAGCTGTTCGGCTGGGTCTTCTTTTGTTGCCCTGCACAGGAAAAGCTGGAAAACAGGTTAGTGGGGTGGGAAGGGAATGGGATTTTACAGTGTCCTTTCCCTGCCATGCCCACCAAGCCTCGCCATGCCCACAGAACCAGAAGTAAAAACATGTTGAATCCCACCACTGGCACCAACCCGTGCTTTTAATATTAACTATCAACTTTGTATTAACTCTCCCTCTGCATGGCTTGAATGCTGACAGAATATAAAATAATAAACATTCTAATATCAGGGGTCTCCAACCTTAGCAACTTTAAGCCCAAAGGACTTCAACTCCCAGAATTCCCCAGCCAGCTGGCTGGGGAATTCTGGGAATTGAAGTCCTCCGGGCTTAAAGTTGCTAAGGTTGGAGACCTGTTAATTTAATTGATGTTTGTTGCCTCCCCCTCAAGACTTCTAAATGGAGCATCTAGATTATTTTCATACTCATTTTGCCACCTGCTTTGTGCAGCTACGCAGGGCAATGAATGCTTGAAGTGTTACTCAGGGGTGGGATTCTACCTGCTTGGATCAGTTCTATAGAACCGGTTGTTATGATTCTGCCCAGTTTGGAGAACTGGCAAATTGTGCCACTGGCTGGCCCCTCCCCACCCCACCCACTCACTCCTTACCTGGTATGCGCGCCATCAAAATTGCCTAAATTGCTATTCCCCCTCCCCCGCTGCAACCATCAGCTGTTCTGCTGTGCCAGGGGATTTAGATTAGCTAGAAAGCAGTTGAATTTCTTGCTTTTTAGCTAATCAAAAAGCAGAGCTGAACCTTCCTTAGGACTGGAGCTTCTAGTTTTCAGTGCAGACTCAGGTAGCAGATTGCAGATAGATAGATCTCTAAGGGAATCTGTGATTCTGTGAGCAACTCAATCTGCCTGCCTGCTTTGGGGTAAAAGTTGCTCTTTTTTAATAAAAAAAATCAATATTTACATAAATACTTACAATATTTACATACAAGCCATGCCCAGCCAGTCACATGACCACCAAGCCACACCCACAAATTAGGCCATGCCCACAGAACCGGTTGTTAAGAAATTGGAATCCCACCCCCGGTGTTACTGTACTATAGTTTGTCCTCGACTTACAACAGTTCATTTAGTGACTGTTCAAAGGGACAACGGCACTGAAAAAGGGGACTTATGACCATTTTTCACACTTACAACCGCAGCAGCATCCAATCAAAATTCCAATCATTGGCAACTGGTTCATATTTATGTTGCTTACTCAGTCCAGAATTATTATGTATTTATTTGATTTCTTTAACTGCCCATCACAAGTGACTCTGGGTGATGTACATCATTATTTATTAGAAACTAATCATTGTTAGTTTCAGAAGAGAAGCCAAAGGAAAGGCTGGATGGACATATCACCTAAAGGCCTTGTGTGGCATAGCCTGCTTTTCTCACTGCAAGATAAACACTAATGTATGTTCGTGAGTGTGGGTGTGGGTGTCAAAAAAGATTGAACATTCAGATATTTTGTCCTGGCATTGTAAGAAACTTGGGAGCTCTTTAACTTTAAATGGTTATTAGATTAGTTTGGGTTTCATATTATATCCATGTAAGTCAATATAATTGTGGAAACAACAGTAATAGTTAAAGATGTAAATGTGATGTTCAACAATAGTCCTAAAATATGGATTTTTGTTTAATATGGCTACTCAATTCAAATGAAGTGACTCTGGATGGTAGGTAGGAGAAGAGGAAAGTCAACAAGGAATAAAGAATGTCTTGAAAAGCCTCTATATTAAGCTTTCACTGCCCTGCATAGCTTCATAAAGCAGATGACAAAATAAGAGAATGGAAATAATCTGGATGTCCTGTTTATAAATCTCTGTGGGGGAGATTACATCAGCCAGGATGATTAATTTAGTAATCATTTTACATTCTGCCAGCAACAATTCCATTCGGGGGGGACAGTTGATAATACACGATACATAACATTAAAATAGGCACTATATGGTCCTAAACTCAAAGAAACAAAGGAAACCAATAAAAAACAAAACAAAAATATAATATCCATTTAGTTTCAATGTGAAATCGCCATAAACCCAACCTAAGCCAAAAAATAAATAAATTAATCCATTTAAAAGACAATTAATACAGTAAACTATAACATGGCGACCAGATTAAAATATGCTACTGCTCAACCATCTGGGACTTCACTCATCCAGATCCCACAACCTGGGAAAACAGCCAGGTCTTGACTGGCTTTCTAAAGACCACAGGTTCAAGGGTGACCTTATGGGGTGGGGGTGGGGGGGTCAGGTTGTCCCAAATACCAAACACACACAAGTTTTAATTGTAGATAGATAAAAAAACATGTAAGGGAAGCCAACAAACTGTTTCCATGGATGCAGCCTTCCTGTGAATGAAATTTTGCCTGCCTGTAACAGAATTTCTTCTATAAAATAATGCTGCCTTTTTTGTAGCATGGTGCCCTCTGGGTATGTTAAAACTTCAGCTCTTACAATTCTCAACTATTGTGTGTTTCTCACACTGACTAGGTATGTTGGAAAATGAAAACATATCTGGACAAAAGGAGATTGAACTAGAAAACTCTACGACAGTTTGACTTCAAGTGCCCCACCAGATTTTATTTATACTGCACCTATGCAAGAATGCATCCACTTGAACTTACAATATTCTGCCCAGCTAGAACATCATATTTTAAGAAACACTTCCTTTTTCAATGTAAGGCTTCTCTTGATCTTTAATTTAAGGATATTTAAGGACCACTCTTCAATAAAATGTAAATTTGACTTAACATTTAAATTGAATTAAAGTTATGTTAGTCAATGAGGTTTACATGATTTGCTTTTGATTGCTTAATAACTTGTTCCTGCATCAGAATGCAGTTTCCAGCAGGTAATATGCACTTCAGTTTAGTTTAATAAAAATATTTCAAAGAGGCTTCCTTTTTACAAAAGGTATCATATAGCATATAGTCTCATGGTACAGCCTCATGACCCAGAAAATGCTGTTTGTTTAGAAGGGTAGATGTTTTTGATACATCTGTCAAATTTTCAAGTGAATTTTGTTTGCAACGTTATCCGTTTCATAATAGCCATTTTTAATACCATAGCACGATCCTTATCTTTAAATCCAGGGCAAGATCGTATTATCCTGCCATATCCATATACAGATGCCAGTGGGACTGGCAGCTGGAGATTACTTTCACACTGGCAGCAGGAGCAGCATATCTTGCTTCCACATAACCCAACCAGCCCCGTTTCCCACTGCTTCAGTGCTAGTTCTTTCTCACCTCACTTCCAGCATCTGCTGCCTAAATCATTGCCTTATTTAAAAATAGGGTCTGCCCTGGAGCTTTTAAAGCAACTATCTTCTAAACCAGACTTAAAAGATACCACTTGCATAGCGAGATGTTCTGATTTTAACAGCTAAGCAGAGAATAAATGTTATTTATTTCTGCACAGAAGAATTCTCATGGGATTAGACATCATTAAAGCTATTCCACAATTAATAAAATGTGCTTGCTTGTTGAGCAGGGATATTACAAACACACTGATTCCAAAGCATGTTAGTATAGTTCGTTATTAGCACCAACTGAGGAATCCTTGACATATAGGTGCATCAATTATACACTGTTGAGCTGATGAATGTATATTATTAATCTACAGGATTTTCATAGACCTTTCCCTACAGTGTTATACTTATCTTTTATCCAGAAACATCCTTTTATTATGCAAATACACTATATTTAGAACAAATTTGAATGCAGCAAGATGTTTTAAAGTTGACCCAATAAGCATAATTACTTGCATACATCATTACTGATAATATACATAAGGCTTACTCTTTTCATTGTGAATCTTGAAAAATGTAACTATGAAGACTTGGGTCTTTCCCCAAATATTGAAGCCAGGACGCTAATTATGAGAGCTCTGGCATTGGTCCACGTGATTGGTGATTATGGACCTTCACTTGTTTTGTTTTCATTTAGTTTTAATGGAAAGTTTTTTCCTTTGTTTGTTGCCCAGAATTTCTTTGGAGAGACAGATAGCCATATTAAAAGGATTAATACATAAATAAATAACGGTCAATGAAAGGGACTGTATAACTTTCTACACATTTGCAATTTTATTGGAACAAGTTTTTCCACATGCTTTCATGTCATGAATCAGAACTTCAGTTTTGTTATTAAAATGTTACAAGGCCTAGAGTTTCCAACAGTAAGGATAAATAAAGTGCACCACATGGGCCGGATAAACTCTTTTCAAATATGGACACATATAAGAGACCAAAAGTTCAATTGCAGAGTGACATTCAAATTAAGACTCAGATATATCAATATGATAATACTTCATTTGAACTTGAGGAAACTGAAAAGGCCCTTGAGGGGAAAATAATTCTTATAATATAAAATGTGCGTATCTTGATTGTATTCCATGAAAACAGTATTTTATTCAACGGAGGAAAGGAAACATATTTTGTTACAGATAGTTGAAATATTTTTTTGTATACGTATAACAAGAGCATTTGAAAAAGTTCTATGAAGTATATGCCCGAGTTTTTGTGCTCCACAAAATAATTTAAAAAAAAAAAAATCTCCCAATTCTGACAATAGGCAGCAAAACAGAAATCCCCACCAAATCCCAAATAAAAAAAAGACAATTCATTTTTTAACTAGGGTGGCCTGCAGTTCTGCCTCAAAGGCCATCTTGTCAAAGGTACGCATGTTCATCTCTTCCCTGACTTTCTCCCTCACGTGGAATGATGCCCGAGCCACAGACTTCGCACTTTCCAAGACAGTTTTTTTCTCCTTACAAATCTGTTCACTTCGCTCCAACTTCTTCTCAATAGACAACAGGATCTCCCTCCGGCGGATATCTTCACACTCCTCGACTTTCCTCTTGTTTACTTTCTGAATCTTCTCCTTTTCCAGGCGGTTCTGCACCACCTTTCGTGCTTTCTGCTGGACAACTTCCTCGGCCACCTGAGCAGCATGTTGGAGCTTCCTTTCAGATGCTTGTGCCAAAGCTCTTAAGTGCGCCTTCTGCTCCTGGTCTTTGCGTTCCGCTGCTAGCTTGGCCCTCTGGATCTGCAGGTCTTCCCGCTTGGCTCTCTCTCTCAGTTCCTGGTTCCTCTTCTCAATGAGATGCTCATAGTTCTCTTGAGCTTTGCTCAGGCTCCCTTCCATGGCTGCTCTAAGCACTGCCCGCTCTTCGGCCTCCTGCTTCGCCAGTCCCTTGAGAATGGCCTCGTGTTTCTGCTTGTCGGCTTGATTGAGCAGCTTCTTCTCTTTCTGAATCAGCTGTTCCTTCACAAGCTTCTTCTGGGCTGCCAAGGTGAGCTTTTCTTGCAGCAGCTGCACCTCTCGCACCTGGACTTCTTTCTTGTTGGCTTCCTGAGCCTTCAGGTTGTGCTCTTGGTGGCGTTTCCTCTTCTTGTCCTCCAGAGCAGCCTTCTCCAGCCTCTCTCTCTTCAGGCGCTCCTGCTTCTCCAGGTGTTCCCGCGACTTCTCATCCTCCACCAAGGTCTGCCTTTGCTTCATCTGGACAGCCTCCTCCCAGGTATGGGTCAGCCTGCCACGTCGCTTCTCCAGCCGGGTTTCCCACATCCGGCGGCCCTGCTGCAAAGCCCGCTGCTTCTCCCGCTCCTCCTGCTCCCTCCTCTGCTCCACCACCCTCCTCTGCACATCCCATTGGAGGTGGGCGCTGTGCCGCTGCTCCTTCCACAGGTTCTCCTCTTGGTGCTTGGCTATCATCAGGGCGGCAATTTTACGGTCCCTGTCGGACACCTCCTTGAAGCCTTTCTTCTGCTTCACTTCCCTGACAATCCTCTCCACTTTCTGGGTGGTTTGCGGGGAGTGGCTCAGGTCACTCAGGCTGAAACTGCGCCCCACCAGGGAGGTCATGGTGGCCACGCTCTTAGTCCTAGGCAGCTCCTGGGTCCATTTGTCCCGGCTACTGTCCCCACTGTAGGAAGAAGAGGCGCCCGAGTCAGAGGAGGTCTTGGTGGAGAAGCCCTCTCTCCTCTTTTGCAGGGAGTCCAGGGAGTGGCTCTTCTTGGTCTTGGGGCCACTCAGAGGGGGAGGCGGGGCCCCTCCTGCCGTTTTCCTCTTACTAGCCGAAGGGCAGCTCCCCTCAGGCAGGCTGCTTTTAAAGGCCGTCCTGGAGGCCGGGGAGGAAGGCAGGCTTCCGGTCAGGCCAGGCGTGAAAAGCCTCCGCTTCTCCTCTCGGATTATCCTCTCCCTCTCCTCCCGGCACTGCTGCAGCTTCCTCTGCCGATCCATCTCGTAGGCCTCATAGAGGCCGGCGGCGACGCGCATAGACCTGCCGGGGGCCTCCTTGATCAGCTCGCTGAGCGGCCGGGTCAGCAGCTCCACCGGCTTGACGGCACTTCGAGCGCAGGCTTCCAGGGAGCGGGGACTGGTGAGCACGTAGCGGCTGCCTTCGGCTTCCGCACAGTCGAAGTTGTAGAGATCCAGGTGCAGCATCGGCGACTCTGGGCGACTTTTCTCCGGCTCTCCCGTTCGAGGAGGCGCCGCCGCCGGAGGGGGGCCGGCGGGCGGCTGAACGGCAGCCCGAGTCGTCGCGGCTGCCGCAGACTCTTCTCCCCCCGCGGCGGCACCCCCGGGATCGGGGCATGTTTCCTTGCCAGGATCCGCTGCCGGATCCACCATGCCTGGCTCCCTCCAGAATCTGCAATAAAAAAGTAGACCGTTACAAAGAAGAGGCAAAAAAAGGAGCGAGTGGTTTTGGCTTTTTTTTGGGGGGGGGGGGCCCCCGCCGCAAAAAATAAAAATAAATAAATAAATAAATAAATCCCCGTTGCGGTCTGCCTCTCCGTGCCCCGCAAAAGGCGAGAGAAGCGTCGCCGCAAAAGGAAATCAGGGCCGCCGGGATGGTTGCTGCAGCGGCGGCGAAAAGTGGAAGCTCTCCGTTAAGTCCTAAAGGGGCGCCAAGCGCAGGCCGAGCAGGTTGCACATCTCAGCCTCCGCCCCCCTCGGCCCCCACTCACCCTTTGCCATTCACTGTCCTGGGCGTCATGATTGGCTGCGTCGGAAGTTCTAAGCCCTCCTCCCCATCATAGGCCCCCGAGTTGGGGGCGGGGAAAGAACCCCACCTTTCTTTTCTCTCTCTCTCTCTCTCCCTCCCTCCCCCCCCCCCCCCCAATATTGTTGTCTTGCAGATTTAAGTTCTAGTAGGGTGGCTGGGCGGAAACGGCATCAGGAACCCCGAACACCTTCCCGAAAGCCCACGTGGGGGGGCGCGCGGTGGGGGTTCCCGTGCCACCTTTTCCGAATTCTGGGTCCATCCAAGAGCCCCCCTCGCTACAGCTTGCCCCCCTCCCCCCCCCCATGCCTCTCCCTGGCATCGGCGATGCGGGGAATCCGTGCCTCAGAAACGCCCCAATCTGGTGAAGGGAACCCGGGGCCGAAAACAGAGGTTTCCCCGAGGTTCCCCCCCCCCTCCTCCCCTACTCACCCCTGTGGTCCCGGGAAGCATGCTTCAAATAGGAGTTCTACGCGGGCGAAGCTGAGGGGAGTGGGGCGGGGGGTGGGCGGCGGTACTGTAGTTCACGAACCTTTTCTGTCGCGGGTATTGACTGCCTTGGTCCTCTGGGGCGAGAGTTGGAGGAAGCCAGCAGAGCCGTCAGGGAGCAGAGCCGCAATTTTGGCAGGTCAGTTCTGGTATCCTGTGGTAACAGCAACGGAGGTGGCGGCGGCGGCGGCTTCTTCTACATGGCGTCCGGCAAACCCCGCGCAGTGTCTCTCCTGCAGCAGCCCCATGGAAGGTCGCCGTTTGCTGGGGATTTGGTTCCTCGGTCCCAAGCATTGCAAAAAGCCCATCCTGGGCTGAAATTGGCGGAGGTCAGCGACGTCCCATCTCCGCCCAGAAGACCCACCTCCGTCTCGCGGCTTACCTCGCAGCTCCTCCTGCTGACAATGTGAAGATGTGAAGTGGTTGGTTTTCCAAGGGAGGAGAAAAAGCGAGGGGGGGGGGGACCCAAAAAACCCCCACCCCCCCCCCCCCCAATCTACTGCTTCCCGCAACATTGTGGGGGCCAGGGAGGAGAAGGTGGGGGGGAAAGGAGGGGTGTGAATAAAGAACAGAATGCTGAGCTTGGAGAAGGTTGGTGGTTTTTTTAGTGGAAAGGAGGGTGTTCAGCACAGAGAGGATGCATCACATCACCAGCAAATGAAACCTCTTCCCAAGGTTCCCCTATCCCTGGTTTTGCTGATGCATACCTTCCTCAAAACGCAGAAATGAACATTTCCCCCCCACCTCAGTAACCCTTAGGACCAATTAATATTGCTTCTCTGTACTGCAGATGAGAATAAACAGGTTGCCCGAGGCCCCTCCAAATGAGTGGGATTTAAAGGGATTTTGCAAGTCATAAACTTGCCATTGTGCTCCCTCCTGTGTCAAGCACAGATCCAGAGATGAAGCTCTGATTGTGTCTGCGTATGACACCAAGCGGTGTTTGATTAAACATGGTTTACTGAATAAGCAAGAATTGAGTGGGGTTCCCACGTGCTGCTGTTGTAAATGATGAAGTACAAAGTACAGTGAGTGAGTTCATACAACATGGTAAGTCAAAATGAAGGAAAGTTTGTGTGATGTATAAACTTAATTTTGGGGCGAGGGAGACCTAGCCAATCTGTGGCCTACAAGCAGAGAGTGCACCAGAGCTCCCCTTCTTTGATATTAAGTGGTACTTTCCGGTTCTGCTTATGTCCATCTTCTGGAAATAATCGATGCTTTTATCCCAGCATGCAGCTCAGTTGTTCAGAAAAAGACAGGGGGGTAACTGGGGTGTGTTGCTAGGGGGTTGCGCAGGGGTTCAGGAGAGCTCCTAGCTAAGATTCTGTGCAGTTTGGAGAACCTGCAAATCCTACTCCTGACTGGCCTCACCCACCCTATCCCCCCCAGGAGTCCCATGCAGCCCGCTTGGGATGTAGGTAAGTGCAGGTGCATGTGAAGTTTTGGGGAGGGCGAATAACGGGCCTCCCAGAAGTTCGGGAAGACCGGAAATGGCGCCGCTTCCAGCTTCCAGAGCGCCTCCGGAGGCCATTTTCAACCTCCCAGAGGCTCGAGAAAAACCGCGGAACACCTCCCCGCCTTTGCAGGAGGCTGATTAGGCCACGCCCACCATGGCCACACCCACCCAGCCATGCTCACCCAGAGACCCCATTGCTAAAATTTTTGAAGCCCACCCCTGGGGGTAACCATCCTAGAGAGACCATAGAAAGCCATAGAAACCTATGGGAAGAAAGAACCCCCACTGAAGATATACTGTATTTATATAGGAGGATCTATGAAACAAATATGCTAATACAGTAATACTAACATTTGGACATCCCATCGGCAGCCTGGTGAGGCATGAAACCATCTACCTATGGCAGGTCCAAGTTAAAACCTGCATTTTCCTGTGAGCCGTGAGCAACCTTTAGGTTACACACAAGTGGTATGAGTGTTGCTAGCTATAGGAGCTGCTTAGATTTGGGGGAAATGCATTCAGCAGGCATCTCCTTTATGGAATCCCAGTACCTCGGTGGGCTCATCTGGTATTATTATAAAATATTGGCTCATTCTCAATCAAGCTATACTTTTGCTTCCCTGGTGCTCTAAACTAGGTGGCAGCTGGATCTCCTAGAATCCTTCCAGAATGCACAAATCCAAAAGAATTGGCTTTGGTTTGGAGGGATTAAAGGGATATAAAATACCATTTTCAGCCCATTTCGGATCCAGGCTCCATGCATATTTATAGCATGACCTTCACCTCACACAAAAAGTTGAAGTTGGCTCTTGACCCTCCATGAAAAGGAATATCTGGATCTAGGGGTGGCAGATGATGCATCTGAAATCTGAAGTGCTCTTGAGGCCCTACTGGGATCTGTTCCTTGGCAGTTTAGTTCATGAATCTGACTTTGATCAAAGGAAACACTGAGATGAAAAGGAAGTCGCCCTTGCAGAACTAGAAGCTCAAACCTTATCCTCCACTTTCTTGAACTTGTCTGGGAAAACCGTGAAATGTAATTGGGAGGCTTCTGCCAGCAGATCCAACGGTGAGGAATGCTGAGAAAGGAAAGGCAGCTGTATCCAAGGACCACAATCCAGGGGACTTGAGATAAAACAGCTTTTAAAGAATCCTCTGGGGCATCCCATACACTCTCTTGAGTACACTTCTATACAGCCACTAGGCTGGGCCTTTTTCTGCAAAAACGTTGCCATATTAATATCCCCATTTGCTGCTCTTTGGGGCTTGGGGGAATGAAATAAGAGGAGCACAGAAAGGCCACCCAGCTGCCTAACAAAGGAATTGGGGGGTGGGGTGGGGTAATAACTCTTTTGTAATGAGAGGGGGAAAAACCCACTGATGGGGCAGAACAGCAGTAAAGCCACATCTCCTTCCCAATGAAGGACCTCTGGTAAAACACTTACGTGCCTTACTTTCAAAAAGGAGGGGGAAATCTCAGTGGGAAGAGGGAAATCTAAGGACTTTTAGCCAATAGGAACCTGCCTGTCCTTTAGCTCCATTTTTTATACACTAATTTTATTAAAAGCTGCAATTAAAAAGATAAAAACTAATACAAACTAAAAGAATAAAAAATTTAAAAAGTGCAAAAAAGAAAAAACACAGAGAAAATAAGAATGTAAGAAAGACAAAAAAATGCATAAAGTAGTGACTTCCTCTTTATCATAAGTATAAACCATTTTAATATCACTTTCTCTTCAAATAAAACAATCTCTTCTTTCCATATCCCATCTTTTATATATAAACAAATTCCTAAACCCTGATCAGCAAAGGTCTATTAATGGACATCTATGAAAATAACATTATTTATATTTATTAATTTCACTAGTAAAACTGATCTTTATTCCCTTCAAATAATCTCCTAGAACTTGATTTTTTTTTAATTACAAAATTCTACAAAGCTTTGATAAGTTTCTTTTGTAAATTCAATACAGGAAAAGTAGTAAAAGCAGACACTTTTAAAATTAACTTTTGGGCCCATTGTTAAAAATATCCTTCAGTATGTCCAGTGTTAAAATGCTTTACTTCATTCTGCATTAAAAGTCAAATGTAAATGCGCCTTTCCTTAACTGCAACCTTTAATTTCTTTTGGTTCCTTTTAGTGTCCAAACTTCACAGTCTCATCCTACCATTTTGAAAAAAAATCAAAACAAAGCATCTTCCCACAAGAAGATTTCTTACAGTTAGTTCCAAGATCTTATTTCAAATCCTTCTGGACACTTAGCCCATTTGTAACTTTTCAGAAGCAAAGTTCAAATCACCCTTTGTTGTTTATTCCCATTTTTAAAAAAGTCTTTAAACTCAGTATTTAATTTTTTTTTCTATTAACTATTGCAGGAAACTCATCCAGAGCTCTAAGGATTCCTAATTGGCAAATATCTGGAGCCCTGTGGGTTATCTCAAATTGTTTCCTTGTCCAGAGAGGAATTATGAAGAAATGGTCACACTTGGACTACTGCAATATGCTCTACACCAGGGGCAGCCAACCTTTTACCTACTGCTCACTTTTGTATCTCTGTTAGTAATAAAATTTTCTAACTGCCCATCGGTTTCACAGTAATGGTGATTTATAAAGTAGGGGGCAAAACCTACTGCCCACCATGAAAGCTGGAGCGCCCACTAGTGGGTGTTAGGGACCAGATTGACTACCATTGCTCCACACCCTTGAAGAGCATTTGGAAGTTTCAACTTTTGGAAGTTGGGTAGTGCGGGCAGTCTTTGGGACCCCTAAAGTGGCCCATGTTACACCATTGTTCCACAAGTTTCTGGGTGCAATTCAAGGTGTTGGTTATTAGCTTTAAAGTCCTTCATGGCGTGGGTCTAACTTATTTGAGATCCATCTCACCTCAATGGGACTGGTCCACCCTACCCATCCGTCAGAGGAGGCATGCTGTGGATCCCATCAGTCAAGGAATTCCAGATGGGGGTCCAGAAGAGAGGTGGAGCTCTTGCCTCACAATCAGGAGGCTGTGAGTTCAGTCCTAGGTAGAGGAATAGACTCTCCTGCTCAAGCAGGGGGTTGGACTAGATGACCTCCAAGGTCCCTTCGAACTCTATTGTTCTACACGAAGACTTCTCTGCCATAGCACCAGCCCTTTGATCCCACATTGAGATCTGCCCCCACCCTCCTAATCTTTTGTAAGAGCCTGTTCATACACACAAATACACACACACTTATACTGTGTATGCATGCATGGTTTCATCACTGTTAATGTTATAAGCCATCCAAGGTTGCCTGATGGCAAACAGATTTAATTAATAAGTAAAACAAATACCGTGTTTCTCCAATAATACAGCCTCCACCAATAGGAAGCCCCACCATGTTTTATTGGCATAAAATCAAATTAAGCCCCTCCCCCCAAATTAAGGCCCATATTAAACATGCGAAATGAGGGGGAATGGCGGGGGGGCTTGCCGTTAGGAAGTACTTTTGTTGCATGCCCGAATATGGTGCTGCCTGCGTTGGTGGGGCACTTCATATCAGGAGACCTTCCGGCACTGTTGCTTTCCCTTCTCTCTTGCCTGCCGCGGCGTTAGAGCAATGCTCTAACGTGGCTGCGTTTGGCG